GGGGCCCGGCCTGGTTTGGTTGAGTTCTTGGACTCAGACTTGAGTTGAAAAAGAACGGAGCACTTATGGGTTACTAACCGTGTGCCATAATGTTGATCCATTGTTTAAAACCGTACATTTTGGGGTAAAAAAGGAATGAACCTACCTGGCAGGGCCATGGTTGGCACATGAAAAGCAATGGACCGGGCCAATGTTCCCAGTGCTCTCAGTGAGGCAGGATGGGTAAATTATTCAGGAGATGGTGGTGAATTGAACAAACTTCACAAAAATTCAAGAGCTTCATGTCGTACGTAGCCAGAGAAGAACATTTAACCAAGGTAGGACTGGTGTTATCAGTCACCACACACACTGAGGGAGATACTGAAGATGGGATCCATTCACTTATGGACTTGCCCATCGTTTGTGAGGATGATCGCTTGATTTCAGTCCCAGAGGTTTAGCATCAGAGGTCCAAGGGGTAGTAAAGACAGACGTAAAATCTACACATCTTGCTTTCACTGGGCTTCTAGGTAGGAATCTATGAACATATGATGCATTCCTTGGGACTGAAAGAGTTAACAAACTTTCAGGAAGAGGCTTGCCATGGCGATGCAGATGCCAAACAGAATTTAAAACCTACCATACAACTCTAGAGTGCACAATAAAATAAACATTCTGAGAACATGTAATTTTCTGGTGCCAAGAAAAAAGTGTGAGTCTTGGACAATTTTACAATCACTCAGGAAGAAAATTAGGGCTTTTCGGTTACACAATAAATGAACAAACATGCAAACTTTGTTTTAAAGGGTTACAAATTGAGCATGCATTCCTGTCTTCCATTTTACCCTTACAAACATTCATCTTTCACATGACAATTCTATTTTATATATCAAGCAAATTATGTTCAAATAACTATGTATAGAATGAATGTAAAGAAAAATACAAAAGCGTGAATGGCAAATGCATAACTTCAAATATACATGCATTATACATGTTTGTAGAGATGCAAAAACACAAAAACAATTACACACATAAAGGCACACACACTGACACAATACATATACCAAGACACAAAAACAGACAATACACACACACAAAAACAACATACACACAACATACATCACAACAACATACAAAGGCATACATGCACTCAAAGACACAACACCTACACACAGACATAATGTGTAGACACAAACACAATACATACACAAAGAAGACACAACACACATGCACAACACAAACACACAACAAAACACTCACAGAGACCCAATACACACAAACACAACATTCACAGACACAACACTTGCACAAAACAGGTACAACATACACAGGTGCACACAAACTCACAGGTACAACAAACACAGGTGCACACAAACTCACAGGTACAACAAACACAGGTGCACACAAACTCACAGACACAACACTTGCACAAAACAGGCACAAAACATACTCTCAGACACAACACATACACACAGCTGCCCACACACTTGCAGATGCAACTCTCGCATCCACACAACGCTCACAGACGCAACACTCACATAGACAACCCTCACATAGACAACACTCACATACGACAACACTCACATAGACCAACATTCACATAGACAATGCTCACAGACGCAACACTCTCATAGACAACACTCACAAACACAACACTTGCACAGACAAAACATAAACTGGATCACAATAATAAACAGAAACATACTAAGAATACTCCGCCAAATATGTAAAACAATGACATTTTACAAAGACGCAGTGCACAAGGACTATGCACTGACCTTGTTTTCCATTCATCAAATGGTACAAAATGCAAGGGATACCCATGGCTGTTCATCCACTGAAAGACCTTCCTGAAACAACAACCAAAAAAAAAAAAACATGTACATATTTTGAACAGCTGAAAATATGTGTAATGTCAATGTGTATGAACAACAAGGAATGCTTCAGTGATGTTTTATTCCATAGCTGCTTTTGTATTTTAAAAATATCATTTTCAAAGTTTAGAGATAGTATTTGCAACTAAATAAGCCCCACTTATTTTTCCCATGAGATACAGAGAAATATGCCAGTCAATAAATTGTGCAATCTTTTGTTTGCGTCTTCTATATTCAAATTTTTTTTGTAAATGAATTATGTAAAACCTTAAAGATAAACACATATGCTACTGATATAAATCATTATATTCAAACATACTTACAGTTTTAAAGATGTTATAATTCTTAAAAAGATGATAAGGTTGGGGGGGAGGGGGGTAGAATATTACAGAATAAGCAAACATGAAGGACCCTTTACCTGGCCTTCATCGGCTTGTCATTGACAATGTGCAAGGTTTTACCCAGCACAGAGTTTGGATTCTGAGTTAGAGTGACCACGACATTTGCAACAAAATCTACAGGTGTAAACTCCATATTCCAGTCCACATTTGGAGCTAATCCAGTTTTTGCACATGCTTGCAGTACTAGCAGTGTAAAATCTTGTGGATTCCAGTATGCATTTTTACTGTCCCCAGCCAGATTACCTTTGAAAAAATGAGAAAAAAAAATATTGACATTTGTTAACCCATGTTATAAGTGAATTAATGCACATACATGCAAGTGTGCATTTACCCAAATGCACACACACACATGCCACACACACTTTCTCTCTTTCATTACATATGTACTTACACACAAATATAAACATAAACACACACATAACTTTATCATGTGCCTCCATGTGTGGGTTCTGGGGCCTGATTTTGATGGAAAAAGAATAGCATTGCTGCAACATTATCAAACATTTTGTAAAAGATGACTAATTAGAGGGCTTTTAGTTTTTATTTTGGAACTGGAGTAGATCTGCCTGAAAGTCTGCATACAAGTACCCCAGATCTGCCTGAAAGTCTGCATACAAGAACCCCAGATCTGCCTGAAAGTCTGCATACAAGTAACCCAGATCTGCCTGAAAATCTGCATACAAGTAACCCAGATCTGCCTGAGAGGTGGGGAATCAAGTCTGCATACAAATACCCCAGATCTCTCAAATGAATGTGCATGCATAATCAAGTTCTGGAACAGGAATAAATGGAGTTTACAGCCATAAACATGAAGGGAAAAAAAACCATGCCAGATGGTGTAGATATGCATATTCTTTCAAAAGATTTGATTGAGTTCTATTGAAGATATTCCTCCATGCCACTGGCTTAGATCACTCAGCTTTGTTTCTATTGATCTGCTTCTGCCTTGTCTACCGCTGATCTTTCCAGTTGTGACCATGTTTTCCAATGCCTCGCTTTTCATCACGCAACCTAATAACAATGTTTGACTCTTTCTTAAAGCAGTGTTTGATTTTCATTAGTCTCTGTCCCAGGTATTTACAACATTGTCTCAGAAACTATTTCTCTGTCTGTCCAAGGGATTTACAAACAAATGTCTTAGAAATGATTTTTCTGACTGTCTAAGCATTTGACAACGTCTGTTTCAGAGACAATTTCGCTGCTTTATTTTCTGATCTGCTTATTCACATTTCAAGATTCACTTCCATACACCAGAACAAGCTGAACTTATTTAGTTAATCTCTGACATTGAAGGCAACTTATTGCATAACATACTTTTCATTTTTTTTAATTCTTCTGCATTCCTCCTGAAAATGGCCATTGGTGTGTTGTGAGGTGGTTTACAGCTAGTCTGAGATACCAGGACCTTTATGCCCAAAACATCCAATTCACCTCTAAAATGTAGCTTTTGTCTTTTTCTTTCCTGCTATTACCCTCCATCACAAATGTTTCATCTAATGTTATGACTGTTTTAAATTTTATCAGTTTGGTCAAGAACTGTTCCTTTGATTGTTTGATGTCATCAGCTGACACAAGGTCATCAAATAAAATCATTACATTTACTGGAGTTTCAGTGTTGAGCAGTAACTTAATTGCAATGTGGCCCTAGTGACCCAATGTTGGAAAGAGACATGATCCCCCATGCCAGCCACAGCGATCTGATGCTGGAAGCAATATGGTAGCCTAAACCAGTCAGTAAAACACTTACTGAATACCATGTACAAGAGGAAGATTACCTAGTCTGTAGATAGTGACTGGAAGCCCTCTGTCTCTGGCTCGAGAGACCAACTGTTCGGCCACCCATTTTGACTGACAATAGCCATCGGTCAAGCGGTCAGCATATTTCGTTATGTCCTCTCTCTCTTTACAATCCTTCAGTCCATGAGGAAAAACTCCATCCGTGCTGTAAATTATTTAAGATCATTTGTTAAAATGAAACAAAAAATTATGAGCTGTGGATTTTATAATTAACAGTAAAAAGTCAAGGACACTTGTAGACACCATGTAGGGTATTGGGTACATGGTGCTAGACCAAGATTGTACAGACCAATCAGCCCTTGGTGGGTGATGTGGTCAACATCATGCTTACCTTTACTTCATAGGTCTAAAAACTCGAAGCTATTATAGGCTGGGTCCACCTGCGAGCCAAAGCTGTTTTTGAAAAATATCTGACTTGATGTACATTTCCATCCATCACCTCTAGACTCACATGTGAGCATCTAGCCATACACCACAGCAGATTTGATTTGCATTAGTAAATGATGACTGAAAGAATTAAATGTTTAGTTTAGTTGGATTTCAGAGATTCAACAATGATTTTGTTTGAGCCCTCACAAGGCTTCATCAGAGTGGAGATCACAGTTGATCCCACTTCATTACCTAAACTAGCGTCTGCCCAAATTACTTTACATAAATTCGTGTAAGAAGTCCTGATCAATCTGAGGTTTCACTCAAAATAAATCTCTTCTCTCAAAGTAATACATATTCTGACAAACATGCTAGGTAGCAGACATTCCTGATTATAGCCATTCTTGGACTAAAGATATTCCTAGACTATGGAAATTCCCAGGTTACATATATTCACAGACTATAAAATTTCCAGGTTACAGACATTCACAGACTACAGAAATTCTTAGGTTACAGACATTCACAGACTACAGAAATTCCCAGGTTACAGACATTTACCAACTACAGCCATTCATACTATAAAAGTTGCTTGATTACAGACAATCTGGGACTAGAATTCATTAATTTAAATGGTAGTAAACTCTTCATGGTCATGCAGGTTTTCATCTTGTTTTCTGTATCTGTAAGTTTTGTTTTGTGTTGATGCTCACAGATGGTTATTTCCAAATTTTTGTAACAACAATCCCAATATAGTACACTGTTATGAATAAATCCTTGTAAAATTATACAAGCAGGAAAAGATAAATATAAAGCGTTACTGAAAATAGCCAGCTACAATTACTTTTTCCTTCACTGACCCAAAAAATGGTTCTGATCTCTTTTGCCCTGAGAAGCCACAAAACTGACACTTCTGTTTGGGTCCAATTTCCTATAAATGTCACTTTTTGGGCTTATCTAAGTGACCTATTTATGAGAGGCACAGTTTTTGCTTTTGGCTGTGTTCACACCTGTGCAAATGTTTATGAAGTCAGGATATGAATACTTTAACCAGCAATAACATTTAGGAAAGATTTTCCTTGAGCTAAATGGTTTTCTTGAAGTCAAGCTGAAGTCAGATTTTCCAATAAGCCTCAGTAAAACAGGTCACCGGGTCACTGTATGAATGAGTCACTAGATACATGGGTTTTTTAGGTACCAAAAGATGCATTGTACTAAATGCTTCACACCATTCATGTTTGTTGACTACTCACTTTATATATCTTTATATATTTCAATGTGAAAAATATGCTAATCTATTTAAATTTTTTTTTTTTAAATTTGAAAAAAAAAGTTATGGAGATAAACATATTTTTCATGAATTGATTTGCACCTTGTACAATCTTTTTTATGGGTTTTCCCTGAAATTCCAAAAGGATGATGGCTTTTTTTATTTTGTTGACATTTTTTTTTCAAGTGTGTTCTGGGGAAAGGGCTAAATTTTTGTTGTAAAGAAAACATGGGAAAAAAAGGGCATGTTATTAATTTTAAAAATGTAAACAAAACAAAAATGTTTTTTAAAACAAATGATAGCCACCTAATGTAGTGTAGAGCTTTCACTTTTCCGGAGGAAGCAAACTGGATCACATTGGCTGTGCCCATAACATTGGGACCATGGAGAGCCTGAGAATACAACAATAACTATTTTACCATCAGTTCTGAAGAATATTTGTTATTATAATTCTTCCTCTTTCTTCTCCTATAACCTTTAAAAAGTGACAAAATTACCTGAAATACCAGACAGCCACTATACATTGTGATTATACCTGTAATTGATAGCTTGGCCTGTACAGAAGTTTTCTCATTGATAGTTTTTCAAAATGTCTCTATATAATAAAGCAAGCATCCTGACTATGTTGTCATGTGCAAACTCTCTATTACAGTGGTTCTTCAACCAGAAAGGGGGAAGGGTGTGGGGAGGAAATTACAAGGGGAACATCAAGTAATTTTGAAACTGAGTGCACTTTACATGTAACAATCTGTTATTCAACATTTTGTTTTTTAAATTTCACTATAAATAATTTTTTTAAAAACTATTTGTGTTAAACAACAACAACAAAATGGACATTTTAATTACCAGTTCATACAGTATATGTTAGCAAGACAACAATGTCAACCATCACACTGAAATGTGGACACTGAATTACCAGTTGTTTGGTAATTGTTACTTCTATCGTATTCCACATTTTGATTTATGTGGATATTTTTCTCCAAGTTCTTGCTAACAGTGCTTGTGATTTTTGTCTTTGTCCTTATATTTTAAATCACGTTTTTTTTTTTTTAATTGAGGGTGGGGGGTAGGGGTGTGTTCGAGTCTTGTCATATGTTCAAAACGGTGGGGGCACCACCTGAAGAAGATTAAAAAAACACTTGTACCACCTTGAACCTATCTCTGATCTGGTCTTCAACTTCTCCACTTCCCTGGAACCTATACTAAACATCTAACTGGAGATCTACACATAATAAGTACATCTGAATCAGTTTCACATTCCCACATAAATTCTGAAACTATGTCATTTCATGTCTACAAAGAACATATAGTCTGTTCCAGTTTTCTTACGCTGTATGGATATGCCAGATTGACTGATGCAGCTGAATGGATGACAAAGTCGATGTCTGTACACAAATATGTGTAGTCCTCTTCACTCAATCCAAGTCGCATCAAAGATATGTTCCCTGAAAATCATGTCTGTTTGTTAGTTCTTTCTAGAGGAGTAGAATTATCACTATTATAAATTATGAAAACAATTCAATATTATTAATCCAACATTTAATCAACAGAAACAAAGATCTCTTCCGCAGAATTTCCCCTAGGTGTTCATTGGCCAATTTTCTTGTGCCCCATTAGACAAAGCCTTTGTATGACAAGTTTGGTCTGTTTGAGTGCCGGGGTTTTAGCATCAGAGGCCTAGGGGTAATCAAGAAATGTAAAATCGGTGCATCTTGCCCAGCTTCTGAATTGAATGCATGGCGTGACCCTGTGAGCTGCGGATTGCATTTGGAATGTTTTTTCGACTGTGACCAACGTGTTGGTGTGAATTGTAGATTCAGAAAATGGCGCGATGCCTGTCGTGCAGTGTTGTGGTGCCCGTATGTGATTAAAATTGATCGCGTGGGCAACTGCTGATCTGTTGGCGACTTCTGCTACCATCAATGATGAACTGCAATTCTAATACTGTGATAAACATTCTGTGTGTTTTTCGTTGGCACAGGAGTGGAGCAAAGATGGGGTGACCCGTTTGCTATGAAGCTGAAACTAAGACTACCAGACTACCAGACGGTGCATCTTGCGTTCACTGGGCCTCTAGGCGGGAACCTATGAACGTATGATGCATCCTTGGGACTCAAAGAGTTAACATGTTGAGTTCACCTCATAAGTTAAGTAATTAGTGGTCTAAATGAATCATATTTACAGTACAGTGATATGTAGGTAAATGAAGACTTTTTGTTCCAGAATTATACTCATGATACATGGATAAGTTAAGACAATTTGTTCCAAAATTACATTCATGATAACTAGGTAAGTTAAGATAATTTGTTCTAGAATTACATTCATTAGACTAAATGTGATTTATCTGAAAATTCAACTCACAACATGGACTGCCAATTATTACCGAGATGCCTCGCCCTAAAGACTGCACAGACACTGAATGTCTGCCACAATCAAGTTCTCACCTTTGAGAGCTGTTGTTCTGCTGTGCAATGCATCCTCTATCAGTCCCTGCTCCTCATTCTCCAATGACCTGTCTACTGATATTATCCCATACTGTCTTAAGGTATCACTGATTCTGTCCAAAGCTGACCTTTGGGGCAGCTCCCGCACCAGACAGTAGACAACTAACTTGTAGAAATATGTATACATTTTATATATGAAAAAAATCTATTAGAGATATGTATAAATTCTATATAAAATTTTTTTTTAAGAAAAATGTATAAATTCTATATATATTTTTTTGTAAAGACTTAGAAATATGAAGATAATTTGTATGAAGGTAAAATGTATCATATTATGTAAGTGTGCAATGTGCAACAATCTGTACATGAGAAATGTGTAAGAATATTTGTGTGTTACCATCATTCTCTGTGTGTTCAATGTATAACATTTGTGTGTTTGTGTGTGTGTGTGGCTTGTGTGCAGTTATGTAAGTAACGTTATGTGTTTTTACTGGCAAAGCTTTCAGGAATTTAATCTATTTATGATGAGTTAGTTCCTCGTGTGGGTTCCAGGGCCCCATTGTGGGTTCCAGGGCCCCATTGTGGGTTCCAGGGCCCCATTGTGGGTTCCAGGGCCCCATTGTGGGTTCCAGGGCCCCATTGTGGGTTCCAGGCCCCCATTGTGGGTTCCAGGCCCCATTGTGGGTTCCAGGCCCTCATTGTGGGTTCCAGGGCCCCCATTGTGGGTTCCAGGCCCCAATTGTGGGTTCCAGGCCCCCATTGTGGGTTCCAGGGCCCCATTGTGGGTTCCAGGCCCCATTGTGGGTCCCAGGGCCCCATTGTGGGTTCCAGGGCCCCATTGTGGGGAAAACAAGAATTGACCCACTGCCTCCTCACACGTCATAAGAGTTGACTAACTGGGAGTTTCCTTCAAAGTCAGAGTGCATCTGCCTGAGAGGCAAGGAATCAACAGTCTGCACACAAATAAAGTCAGGAGATGTGAACCAGCGTCATTGCACACGGTTATAAACCATAAGTGCTCTACCACCAGTATGGACTGCTGATGAGAAATTGTCCGCCTGTGTCGCTATCCACACATAACTCTGTAGTTACAGCGACGTTCCTCCATTTACTCCAGAGTGTCAACTCTGGTACCCTTTTCCTAGAGGCTGGGTGAACCCCAGGAACCGCCTGGTTTCGAATACCGACCATGGGCTGCAGCGAGTCGCAGCTAGATTTGAAAGCAAGCCTCTTATCGACTGCACTAACACGGCTCCACATAAGTCAAATCAATGCAACAATCAGGTTCTGGAACAAGTCTGTGGATGAACAGCCAGAAATTTCCTGAGTATACAGCTGGTGAACATGAAGAAGAAGAAGAAGATTATGAGTTGGTCAGTGTCTGTGGCTTTGGCATTGTGAGCCTGTTTCATAATTCTGAGGTGCCGGGTGCGATCCTAGCTGTAAGCTATTCAACAGCAGACCACCTTGTGTTAGTTTCGACAGTGGGTCAAGAGCTGACTTTTCAGAGTTCAATGGCAAACTACTGAAATCACAAACAACAAAAAAGTGCTGAGATTAGTTCAGCAATATCCTGTAAAAAGACAGGCACTTTTAAAAATTATTTTTTAAAATTATTTTTTAACTTGTCCTCCTTAATTTTATCTTTATTTCCTTCATCATCAGTTCTTCCTCTGACAGGGTTTTTTAATTTTAACTTTGTATCCTTCTTAATGTGGATTTCTTGTATGCTTTATCTCTTTTCTTCCCATCCTTTCATCATGAACAGCATGGTAACCATGAACATATCCTGATAAATGTTATTACTATCATTATCATTATACTCATTATGAATATATTATTGTCATTACATTTGTCACATGAACTTCATTATTATTATGATTGTTATCATTATTAACATTATTATTATTGTTATTAATTTAATTATTATCATTAATACTATTATTAATTATCATTAGATTCACCACTGTCCTCTACATCGTTATTATCATTAAGTCCACTGTTATCATCAAAATCATCGTTATAATGAACATCAGCAGCAGCATCATCATCATTACCTTTGTATGAAGCAAAAGTTCTTTTAGAATGAAAGCTCCCAAGAAACCAGTTGCTCCAGTCAAAAGCACACGACCTCGATTAAAATGGTGGCCATGATGAAAAGTACGCCAGAAAGCTCGTAACTGCATATCCATACTATAAACAATATGGGCCAAAATATATCAAGTTAAGCAATGTTTTATATTCTATTGCAATGAATTTAGTATTTCCATGTGCCATCTATATTTCCCACCAGGTTTTCTGTTGAAGTCTGCTGGCAATGAAACACCTAAAATATGCCAGGAAAATGTTCCCATTCTAGGCCTAATCCTAAAATAAGTGATTTTCCAAACAACACATCATGCATTTGTTGGTTTCATTTTCCATTTACTGGCTGTAAAATTCAGTGGAAAGTTCTGGTTGTTCATCCACTTTTGGACTTTGGTCTTGTTCCAGGACTTCAATTTTGCATCCACATCCATTTTACAGATTTGGTTTATTGTGTATGCAGACTGTTGGTTCCTCACCTCTCAGGCAGATGCACACCTATTTCAAGGAAAACCTGTGTAATTAGTCAACTTTTACAACATGCTGTTTCGGGGAAAGGGGAAATGGGTTTGATCCCCCCCCCCCCCCCACACACACATTCTGCCCCAGTTCTCACTTTAACCCCTTCATGGTGGTAGCATGGTTGAATCTTGGCGGGGTCACATTCTACCTACCACTCTCTGCAAACCTGAAGTTCCTGTTCTAGTTTTGCACACTCCACTGGTTTTGCACTTGAATGCACTGCAGCTGAGCAAAACTATTCAAGAGGAAAATTTGGCGGCTACTTTCCACGTGCTCTGAGGCCCATGAGTTCATTTCACAGATTGTGTCTGTTCAGGACCTCTTTTTCCATGCTGATAGACATATTGGGCATATAGGGCTAGACCTATATTCTTTAGACCAATCTGTACTCGGTAGGTGATGTGGGCAACATCATGCCGGCCACCATTACTTCCCAGAACTATACCTGGTACCCACTAAAGGCTGGGTCAACCTGGGAACCAAGGTCATTTTTGAAAAGTTTGGCTCCATCAAGACCTAAACCCATGACCTTTCAACCTGCAGGCAAGCATCTAGCCACTACACTGCGACAGCTATACATTTGACTCAGGAGAGCAGTTTTATCGCAGATCTTTTGTGATCATCACTTGAGCTATGGAGTTCATGCTCTGTGTGATGCTCTTACTATGCACCTTACCATTCTGTAGAGAGAGGAGCCATATGGGATACAATTTGGCGCAATAAAGTTGTTCCTTGTAACTTTAAAACATCCAGCCTTGAGTTCCTCATGCTGAACTAGCAAATCATTCCTGGTAACTCCAGGTTATCATGGTTCCAACTTCATCACAGACAGGTCAGACTATAAGTTCTGCATTCCCGTGCCAGTGAAAACCAAACAAAATGCCCAACACTGCCCCATGTGACAAGTTTAACAGACAACAGTCCTGGCAAAATCCAACAGCTTACCCACACAAATCAAATGCAAACGACAGCTGCCAGAGGTGCTAACACTTACAGTCTGTCACTAGAATTGCTATGTTTTGACTGAGCACAAATCTCTTGGAGTACAGAAAATGAGCATTCCCTATAATTCACATCTCACAGTGCGGCATCATGTCCTCAGTAGCTGGCTAATGGAACTAGATTTTACTTTACCTTGTCTGTTGTTTCATCCAGTTTCCCACTAGGGGTTGAAACCCCAACCTTCACCTGGATTGTGCTGCAGAACATAACTCACCCATGGAGGAGCAAGAGAAGCTAAGAGACACTCACTACACCATTAGGACCCTCCTGGTAACACCAGCAGTAGCAGAATGAAAGATTTAAAAAAAAAATGATATTTGATACCAAAAACATACTTCATAACTCCCTGGTCATGTCGCTGTACTTCAGCCAAGAGGTCAACTTGTGGTTCGAGAATATCTTCTTTGCTTTTCTGGCCATCACTGCCTTCAGCATTGTTGGCCAAACAGCTATCAATAAATTTAGCCAAACTGGCAACTGTTGGATACAGAAATAGGTCACGAACGGCCAGATTGATGTTGAATTTTCTTTTCGCACGAAGCAGAAGCTCTGTGGCCATGAGAGAATGTCTGAAAGAAAGTGAGAAGAGAAAAGATGGGATATTAACCGACTAGGCTACAATAACATAAAAGTGCATATTTGGAAACAAAATCTTCTTCTTCTTCGCGTTTACCAGCTGTACACTCTGGTGAAAAGTTCTGGTTGCTTGTCCACTACTGAACTGCAGTCCTGCTCTAGAACCTGAGTGTTGCGTGTGCATCAGTTTTACAGATCTCATTCTCTTGAATACAGACTGTTGGTTCCTTGCCTCTCCAGCAGATGCACTCCGACTTCAAAGGAAGGTCCCCAATTAGTCGACTCTTACGACATGCTTTTGGGAAGGCAGTGCGTCTATTCTTGTTTTTCCCACAATGGGGCCCCAGAACCCACACGGGGAAGGAAACAAAATGAAATCAGAACCACACTCAGACATTTAAATAAATAGAAAGGGTGTCAAAGAAAGAAAAGAGAACGTTAAAGAGCAATATGGAGTATATGCTTGAGAGACTTTGTGCATATGATAAAAAGAAAAGAAGAAAGAGAGACAAAAAGTGAAAGAATAGACAGTCTTCCCTATGTAGGTTCCAGGGTCCTATGGGGGGGGGGGGGGGGGGGCTGTCCCCTAACAAGCATGTCATAAAAGGCAACTAATAAGGGACACTTCCTTCAAAGTCAGATGCAACTGACTGAAAGGCAAGGAACCCACAGTCTGCATATAAATAAGCCATATCTGAACAACAGATGCGCAGGCAGAACTCAAGTTCTAAAACAACACTACAGTCCAAAAGTGGGTGAACAACCAAAACTTTCCACCAAAGTTTAATCCAGTGAAAGGCAAAAAAGGAAAAGAAGAGACAGTATGCATGATGGAAGGAGAGGAAGAAAGAGAGAGAAAGTGAAAGAATGATTCAGAGACAGTGTAAGAGTGACAGAAAGAAAGAAAGGGAGGAGAAGAAAAAAAGAAAGAAGGATACAGTCAATGTAAGATAGAGAGAAAGAGACAAAGAGATAGAAAGTGACATAGAAAGACTCACAGCTGTCATTGTTCATTTTACAGATCATCTTCATCGCACATTGGACATGATCATAATTGCTCCGATATCCGCCTATGTCTCCAAGTGTCTTTAGGTTAACAACTCCCATTCTGTTTTGGTCGATGTAAGGATGGGTGGCTCCCCCATGGTTTTCCTGTCTTGCAGCTCCAAATGGTACAGTCAGGGTATGCAGTCTATTCAGTAAAAAATCATTTTCCATGAAACTGAAAACCTCACAGAGTTTAGTCTCTTGTATGGCACTGATGTCATCTTTCTCATCTCTCCTGTCCATAGATGGCCCACACCTGATCGTCACACTGCCAGCCAAAGCATCTGCTCTCTCATTGCCTTTCACACCAGCACAGCTGACAATATGATACTCACCCACCCAAGTCAAAGAAACTTTCTTGAATATCCACCTCTTTCAGCTGCAGAACCTCAATCCAGATCTCAGCCAGTGCCACTTCAGTAACTGTGGATGGCCTCCCCTCAGCTCCAACCATGTCTGTCTGTGAGTTGATGGATGGCAGCGCTGCCTTGTCCAATTTCCCTGTGGCTGCTACAACTGGAATACTGAGTTCAAAAATACATTTTAATACTTAAAATATCATCCCCCAGACACTTTTCTTCACTATTATATATAAAGATATATGTAAGTAGGTCCTGAATGATACAGGGCATTGAGGTGGATTTGTGGGAACAGGATGACATTGACAGCTAGTTAGTCGACAAATTATCTTCGTTGCAGTTTGAACCATTCAGTCCATAAGTGCTCGGTTCCCCTCCTGAGTAAATCCCGCAGCGCTGTAGCCGTCGTTCTGCAGTTGTTTCTTATTCCTCTTGGCTTCCAGCATAGTGCTCTTGTCTGGCCACATCCCTTTTAACATGTTGTTCTTACAGTCTGGTTTTGGCTGTAGATTCACAGTCATCACCTGGTTCTCGCAAACCTTTTACTTCTCGTAGAGCATTCAGAAAATCAGTCTGGTCCATGAATCGTCTGCCTCCACAGTGGCTTTACCAGCAAGCCTATCAGCTTGCTCATTTCCTTGCATGCCTGCATGCCCTAGCATGAATATGAAACTGATATTTGTTGGCTCTGATTGCTTCAGAGACTCCAATTAATGTCTTCAGACTCAGCCCATCTCTAGCTTACCGATCAAAGGTGTTGCATAAGGGTGGAAATTAGGAAGAAATTACAAAAGAGAAAATGCAGACAGACTGAGAGTTGAGTGCCTGAGCACAAGCATATATGTTGGAATGGCAACAATGGTCTTGAAATCCCATAATCTAAATGTGGAAGACTTTTCTTAACAAGCAAACAACAGCAGGTCTTGATAGTCACACTAGCCATTTCCATCACCATGGACTGTGATCCCCAAGCCTCTCTGTAGCATTCCACTGGCAAGACATCAACGTGGCTGCTTTGGGATACATGTTAAGGTGAATTTTGTGTATATTTGTGTGGTTGTGTTTGATTTATGTATGTGCTGATGAAGGCTCTGTAGCCTTAATGTTCACTTTTTGTTTGTGTTTGTTATATTGTTAAACTCACCGACCTACGGTTTGTTTGATTTTATATCTTTCCTTGTAGCATAACACTATTACCTTTAAAGATTGAAAAGTGCTAACAGTAACCAAGTCATTATCTATTTAGGCTTCTCTTTTTAACACTCATCATCATCATCATCATGTAGCAGGTCTTTTGCCGAACGTCACTCTCATCGTGGTCTGTCTTTTGCCATCTCTTCCGCCTCTTGCACCTTCTACCCAAGGAGCCACTTATATCCTGTGATCTTCCATGTGCTGGTTGGCCCCTGTCCCTTCTTCCTGGTACCTTGCCTTCTGCTATTATTTTTTTTAAATCCACCGTACTGTTTAATATGGCCAAAATATTTTAGTTCCCAAGACACTGTGCTGTATGCTAGCCAATCTTCCTTGATGTTCAGATCTTTAAGGATGTCTGTATTTTTTTTTCACCTTGTCCATGGTATTTTAAGAATCTTTCTATAACATTTCAGCTCAAAAGCATCTGGTTTCTCCCTTAACCCTACCCGACCTCAGGCCCTAAACCTAACTGCCTCCTATACCTGAGCTCCTGGGCAATAACGCGAAAAAACCAACATGATATACACAAATATTAATTACATGCAAACAAGTGGCTAGAATAAGAATAAACTTGGAGACATTGTAGAAAATAGGCTTATCTTTTATCTAGCCCCAGTATTCCACCTTTCTGTGCTAAACCACCCAGCAGGATCAACCTTGTTTCACAAAGTGAACACCAGATGTTGTTGCATTGTTTTCCCATAGTAGGCAAATTCCGGAAATTGAGGGATAGTGGTTTAGCGGTAGTTTAGGAAATTCCGGTAATAGTGGGCCAGCGGTCTGGTAGAGTTAATGACTGCAAGATAGTCCACATCTGTATGTTGCTACAGAGAAGATGCATGCTCTCAAAATGCCGACTTTTGATTTCCTTGCTGCTGCTTAACCATAACATAATTAAAGTTTTAAAAATATATATATATTTTTATGCCTTGAGGTTTACAGGACATATTATGTTAGTATAATACTCTGACAGACTAACTGGCTCAAGCCAGCCACCTTGACTTCCCATAATACTCCTAGTATGCATTTTTAGATTAGGTCAACCTGGAAGTCCAGTTCATCTGGTAACCAGTAATACTCCTAGTATGCATTTTTAGATTAGGTCAGATCTGGAAGTCCAGTTTATATCTGGATAACAGTTTTTAGAATCCTGATCTTTAAATTTTAGATCCATGATCTCTGGAATCTGGATCATAATCTGTTCTCTTAGATCTTTTAGAATCTTTTAGATCATTTAGAATCTTTTAGGATCTCTTAGATCTTTTAGATCTTGTAGAATCCTTTAGAATCTTTTAGGCCCTTTTAGAATCCTGTTAACATTAAAGTGACACTTCATTCTATCCTACTTTCTCTGTAAATTAATGCAACAATTAATTAGACTAGGGTTTGCTGTGTCAAGACAAGGCAATGTTTACAAGCTTCACAGAGAGCCAGGTAATTTATGTAAAGTAGTTTCAGTTGTAACATGATTCTACATAGTGAACAAACACTGTGTGCTGAAATACCTTTGTAAGAAGATGAAGTATGAGGGGATCATGAAGAAAGGTAATCTTTTCTTCAGTTCAGCTCGGACTTCTTTCCTTGTTGTCTCTCTCTCACTGACAATGTATGCAACCATGTACTTGTCCTCCCCTTCCTCCCCACACACCAACACAACACAGGCTTTGACCATCGGCAGTGACAGGAGGCAGGATTCCACAGCCTGTAGGATGAAGCATCTGAACTGTCAAATCAACATCTTGTTTTTTCCTTCCTCATTTACCCATAAAAGGGCAGTTTGCACGTTGTGTTGTGGTTTACAGCAATCAAGAAAACTTTCTGAACTATCTGTCACAGAAGCCTGACTAAATATCAGATTATAAAAATAGGCTAACATCTGTACTATGAGCCCTATGTGACATACAACAGCAGAATATGATGACAATGAAGATGATGATGACAATGGTGGTGCTGATGACAATGATGGTGATGATGATACAATGACCATGATAATGATAATGATGATGATGATGAGGATAACACCAGCATACACCCCAACAAGTCCATGAGTGCTTAGATCTTCTCTGAGACTGTCTATGAGTGTTTGACAGCTGATCCCACAAGTCTGGTGTTGGCTTACCATTTTCAGGAAATATTTAACTGTCATGTGACTGATTCCACAGTTATAGTTATCATCAGATCTGATCCTTTACTGGTTGAAAAAACAGAACCTCAGGCTGTTATGTTCTATATAGAGTCCAAATCAGTACTTTCTTTCTAGACACGAGGGTGCCGGTACTCACTACAAAAGTGTCTGACAAAAGTGCCGGTACTCAGCATAAAATGTCTTTGTCAGTAGCGTGGAAAAATTGCTGCCTACAAAATGTGTCAGTGGAGGCTACCATTGCATACTGCCAGAAAAAAATAGGGCTTGTCAAAAGAAATATAACCATAAATGGCGTGATCAGACCCACTTTTTTAAATGTTTTTGTTTTCAAACTATCCATTACAGAAATCATACCCTAGTACCTGAGGCTCATGAAATTGTTCAACACACTAACTAGCCTCAAAGCCGCACTTTTATAAACCACAACTATATCTCAGAGAGTTGAACAGGATATAGCCAGTATGAATACAATATGAGAGAATGTTTATCTGCAGACACAAACCTGGACTTCAATGGAGTAACCTCTAATCTTGACCATGGTGTCCACGCGTCCACAAATCTCCAGGCTTCCGTCAGACAGCATGTAGCCCCAGTCACCTGTCCTGTACAACCTCCTGCAAAATACAAGATGTATCATGTGATTCTGGTCATTGGTGGCAGCCAAGTCCTCCCAGTAACTATGCTTGGCTGTGACAAATGGACACAGAGAGCGACTCCTAAATAACTAAAATCAGTTAACATAAAGTACTATTCAAAGATACTTTTTCTTCTTGACATCTGGTTTCATTTGATCAGGGCAGACTGTCAGGTGGGCTGCCTCTATGAACTAGCATGTCAGCTGTCAGCTGCAGGTCCTGCATGGTTCCTCATAGCATACTCTGCATATGTTGCTTCTGATGCTAGGTTCCTCTTTGTAGTTGAAAGTAGAGATCATCGGGGTCTTAGGAAAATGGGGTTACGAGGAGAGACCATAGGGGCTGGCCGACACTCAACACTCAAGGGAAAGGTGAGATGGATATACTCGGGGGCTGGCCGACACTCGACACTCAAGGGAAAGGTGAGATGGATATACTCTGGGGCTGGCCGACACTCGACACTCAAGGGAAAGGTGAGATGGATATACTGGGGGGCTGGCTGACACTCAACACTCAAGAGAAAGGTGAGATGGATATACTCGGGGGCTGGCTGACACTCAACACTCAAGGGAAAGGTGAGATGGATATACTCAGGGGCTGGCTGACACTCAACACTCAAGGGAAAGGTGAGATGGATATACTCGGGGGCTGGCTGACACTCAACTTTCAAGAAAAAGGTGAGATGGATATACTCGGGGGCTGGCTGACACTCAACACTCAAGAGAAAGGTGAGATGGATATACTCGGGGGCTGGCTGACACTCAACTTTCAAGGAAAAGATGAGATGGATTTACAATCAGACTGTTACTGGTACCATTGGAATTTAAATTCTGTGCTTGCTGCTGAAGATGGAGAGGGAGTACTTATGGGAATATCCTTGGTGCTGTCATCTCGATTCATCATTCAACATTCAGTTGTAGGTATAGTAGGCAGGTGTTCAGAATGTGCTCAAATGTTTGTGGTCCCAAATGAGATGCACATCATGAGGACTATATAGTCATTTCATGCATGTCGTAGCTGAGCCTGCAGTGTTCTGATCCTACATGTGAAAATTAAACAAGATCCTGTTCAACCCGTCTGAGTTTTAGTTGGGATATATGGAGAGTTTTATTTTGTGCTATTTCAATAATGGATATTTATGCCTACCAATTATGTCTGGTTTTTCAATACCACATAGCTTATGTATTAACTATACGAAAATTGTTAGTTTCATGTACAACCTAGTGTGCCCTAGCTCAGTAATCTATCATGTGTTAACCTGAAGTGCCTGTCAACACACTGACAACAACAACAAAAGAAAAGAATTTTCAAATTCAGTGACACCTTTCATATTATTCAATATTTCCTGATGCAGACTGAATTATTATCATTGAGATATAAATAACCAATTAACAATAAGAATCATCAGATATAGTGTATTAAGGGTTTTAAAGTCTAGAGGATTTACTTCAAGCCTGCAGACAGTTTTTATCTGGCTTAGAGTCTCTCTACACAACAGCTTTTCTGTAGTTTTTTTTTTCTTCAATTTTTTTGTCTTTCTTTTATTTGTGTTAAATACTTATTTTTATGTAAAAAAAAAAAATTATACCCGCGTGTGTATACTCAGTGATTCAATGAGTATGATCCAGAGGGTTCAGGCAGGTTCAGTGCGAAGACAATGGCTTGAATCATTATAGAAGTCCACTGTGCGTGGAGTCCCCTTTATTTTTGTTCCGAGACACGCAGGCGTCGATGGAAATGAAAGAGCTGACAGGTTGGCTGGATCCGCTATCACTACCGACGGTCAGCCTGTGGATCATGCTGATATTATCAATGCCCTCAGAGAAATGGGAAGGATAGAGGACTTTGGTGGCAGTGAATCCACATCACTCGCCAGAATGGCAGACTTGGGAATTAAGATCGGCACAGCAAAAAACGAGACGCACACCAGACACGCCAGAAGACTTGTTAATCAACATAGAACTGGTACTATTAGCCATCGGACGTTGGGGTTCATACTGAGGGGAGGATCTGAGCACCTATGGACATGTCCGGAGTGCAATGAGGATAACCCAACAAACTAACTAACTAACTAACTAACTAACTAACTAACTAACTAACTAACTAACTAACTAACTAACTAACTAACTAACTAAGTAACTAACTAACTAACTAACTAACTAACTAACTTCTTTTTATTTAATATGAAAATTTGCTTCCTTACTTGTTTTCTAAAGTGACAAATCTCTGTTTCTGGACTTCTGGTCTGTTGATGTAGCCCCTGGCCAGTGCTGGTCCACTGATGTAAATCTGAGACAGCAGATGGCGTTTATTTCAAATCTTTGAGCAAATAAACTCCCTAGTTAATTAACTCACAAACATACATGCTCATGAATTCACTAATATATTCACTCACCAGCTCACATACTAGTGAACCACTAACAGACTAATATTTCACTCACCAGCTCACATACTTTCTGAACCACTAACTGACTAATATATTCACTTACCAGCTCCCATACTTACTGAACCACTAACTGACTAATATATTCACTTACCAGCTCACATACTTAGGAGACTTGGTATGCCTGGGGCAGAGTCTCTAGTCAGTAATCATGTATAGGTTATTGGTGACCCAAAGTGTGATTAAGGCTACTGGTGACCACAAGTATGGGCCAGTAGGCCCAAGGTGTGTGTTTCAGACTCACATCAAGTCGAGGCTAGGAATTTCTTTTTTATGTGACACCACCTTGGAAGCACATCAGTGTGTTCAGGTGGAGCATCAGACAGACAGTCCTCCTTTTTCACGTTCATGTTCATCATCATACTGTGTTTGAACCCAATAGATAGACTGATGCACGATTATAGAGATGACTCTTTGCGTATTGTTACTGTGGTTGGCTGCAGACTGTTATCAGTGTTAGTGGTATGATGTGACTGTGAACTGTGTTAATTTAGTACTTTCAGGTAGGGAACCTGATATTTTGCTAGAAGGTCGGCTTGGGGAACTTTTGCATAAATGAGTGAGGCATGATCAGTGACCTTTAGACACCTGGTCAAGAGGTGGTACAGCCTTCATATTGCTTAACAACATCACTGTTTACTTTATTATCTACATCAGTATACACAAAACAACGTATTATCTACTTTTCTAATACTTAAGACTATCTATCAGCTGTCCATTATATTTTTATCTGTCAGAGTCAAAACATGTCCATCTTCCTTTGTGTTTCTTAGCCACAAGTTAATCCCCTGTCTTGGCTCATTTTGCACAGTGTGGATCATATACTATTTACGGTTCTTTGCCACTTCTTGGTATTGGCGTGCTGTCATCCTCAGCCCCCAAATAGTCATGAAACTCAACATAATCTGCTTGTCTGGACTCCTTCATGCAACTAACTGTTATATTAACCCAGTCCACCCAAACTTTTACTTTAACTCCTTCTGCCTTATGGTGTTACTATTTTTTAACTACTCTGACCAAAAAACTGGTTACCAAAAGTAACAACTTCTTAGAAAAACAAAATAAAATAACATCTGCTTGTTACTTAAAAAGTCAGGGATTTGTTGAAATCGGAGGTGTGGGCAAAAATGCAGCCTAGCTGTAAACCACAACATAGATTGCCAACACCCTATTAAGGGCACATGAAAAAAATGAAGAAGAAGAAGAAGAAGAAGAATGAACTACATTGTTAGGCCTTCTTCCAACAAAAAAAGCATAATATTATAAAACATCAAACCAGTTCTAGCTATTATTTGGTAATTTCTTACCTCCCCTGACATTCCTACAGGCTGACTCTTGCCATCCTTGCCCAGAATGATGACTTCAACACCTTTCATGATTCTTCCCACAGGACAAAACTTCCGGGACAACAGGGAATCCTGTGCATGAAACAATTTCAGTTATGTTTGGCATATAATCTGGTGTGGTCATTAACTCTTTGAGTCCCAGAGGGTTTAGCCTCACAGGCTCAAGGGGTAGTCGGGAGAAACTTAAAATCAGCGCATTGTGCGTTCATTGGTCTTTTTAGACAGTAACTGATGAACATTTGATGCGTTCCTTGGGACTCAAAGAGTTAAGCCATAATGCCCGCAAAGCAGTTTAATTAGGTCCACTGTTTGACCTCAAAGGTCAACTGTGGTCACATACAGGTCAGATTGCTGGATAGTGGCAAAGTTCACTTTATGTATGCGAGACGGTGAGACACTCAGGAAACCATATTCTTCAGCTGGATATAATTATTCTTCACAACAGGTTCAAAAAAGCTCCTTCAAACCGCATCTCTAATCCTCTAATCCGTACCTCCAAGCTTCATGATCCTGCTCTAGAGTTGAACAAAGTAAACTGTTTTGTATACAGTTCAGAGATTACTTTTGTAAATGTTTGGGAAGCAAAGACAGCAAGCAACAGAGCTTGCTATGCTCACCTGACTATGCCATGACCCAGAACTTATGACCAGTTAACATGTCACACTTTTATGATGACAGCTATCATCAGCAACCTTTTGTTTACTTTACAATGACAGCTAGAAGAGTTATCCTCCACATCCTGTTTACTCTAGTAGTTAAAACCAGAAATAGATAGTTATTCTTTATTATGCACTGTATATATATATATATATATATATATATATATATATATATATATACACACACACACACACACACACACACACAAAGCAAACACCAAAAAAGGAGAGAAAATCAGAGTATGAGGTAGATGAAAAACTGGAAAAATAACTTCAGAGAAACTCTAGGACTGTACAATGTGTTTGTGGCTGGGGGAGGGAGTCAAAATAACAAGCATTAGAACCTTATATCTCTCTTGACATTCAGTGTGGTACAAAAGAAAGTGAGGAAGAAAAAGCAGAAGACATAAAAAAAAAAAAAAAAAAAGAATTCATAGATTGGCTTTATTAGAGAGATACTTTATAAAGGACCAGATGACAGTGGTGTATGGACTTCTTTGGGGAAAAAGGGCTTATGCTCAAAGAAGATTG